ATAAATAGTATTACTCTGTAACACCCATATTACCCACCGTGAGTTGTCATTCTTAAGAATTATGGTGACATCTCTACCGTGTAATTTTACTGCTATATTGGTTTGTTATATTTGTTATATTAATATAGAAGCTCTTAGTTTCTAACACCAAATATAAAGATCGGCAACACACAAGCAACTCCTCTCATGTTGCAGGTGTTTATGGGCGACTATAGCTGCTTTTAATCAGGTGAACCGCCTGCTCGTTTGCCTCCTGAACAATAAAAAATATTTTGTTAATTGATTGATTAAAGAAAGATGTTGATGGTAATACTTCTATTTTTAAATTACAGCTCACCTTCGCAGCGGTAATACCAATTTATTTTTCCACATCCTATATTATAACGGTGTAGCACCGTCCGCCCGGCAGCACGTGCGTCTGAAGTGAGAAATGAAACGCTATTAATTCTACACTCCTAGTATTTCCAACCAGCGAATTTTCTCAACACGTATTCACAACAGTAACGTTGTTTTTTATATATAAGCAATTTTTAGACGATGTAATTTCCCTACGAGAGAATATAGCTGGGGGATAGATACTATTTTTTGAGCGGCCATTTTGTTATCATATACATGGATAAGTTGAATGCTATATTTTAGATATATATTTCTAGATTTCTTGTTTATCTAAATATATACGAATAATTACTAAACAGTGGTTATCTTGTACAGTATAGATATTGCCTGTCTCCCTTAGGAGGCGTCCTATACGCGAGTCTACATGTTTCACCGCCCCCTTTATCTAGAACAAGCGACATGGAAACTTTTTAAAATACCTAGAGCAATGTCATAATATCTCTAAACTTATTTTCTAAGTGAGTAAATACAATAAAAGTAGATATGTTTGTGTAGTAACAGAAATTGGGTGTTCACTAAAAATAAATAATTGCCAAATAGTCACATCCAGAGGGAGTTTTGTACAAAAGCCTTTTAATATCTCTCTCGAACTAGCAAGTCTATTTTGAAATATTGTGTATTTCTTTTAGATCCCCTTGCAAATAAAATAGAAACGTTTTTTCAATTATTTCTGTTAATATGTATGTGGTAACTACTGATAAAACACTCCTTTTATAGTGGAGGCCTAAGTTCAGCAGTGGACAGTTAATGGCTGTTATGATGATAATAATGATATGCAGTTTAACAATATGTAAAATTATTCCATATTTTAAATCAGTGGCATTAGTTTACCATAAGATATAGTAAATAAAAGACATAACCCAAAAGATAATCAAGCTGAAGCAATGGGTTAGTCACATAGCTCGAAAAACCGACAAATTGATGGGGAAAAAAAATTCTTGAGTGGCGACCTCAGGTACAGGACAGGTAAACGCAGTCTAGGACGACCTCTCACTATGACTAGCAACGACTTCAAATGCATTACAGGGATTCAGTGGATGTAGTTGGCTCGATACCGTTTCTTATGGTAGTTTATGGGGAGGCCTATGTTCAGCAATGGACAGTCAAGAGACATGATAAAAAGAATAAACTAAATATTAGTTCATACTCACGTTTAGTTCATACGCTGCGATAGATATATAGACCGATGATCTAGTAATTAGATAGACGGATGGACTAACGAAGATTTTGGGTGTGGAACAAAAATGTTTGATTTATTTTTTAATATCTTGTCATCAAATTGAAATAAAAACATTTTTTGTTTGTTTGTACTGTAACTGTATTAGAATTAGACATAATCTTATATGTAATTATAATTTAAATAGCAATCATCTAAAATTGATTTTATTCACAAATGTAACAGTAACAGTATTGTATTACCATTTGTTTTTACGATCAGCGCTTTCTTGCAATAAGATCTCACTCTTGGGGCTATTAGGTTAGGTTAGGCTCAGAAAAGCGAGTAAACACAAAAATATGGATCTTATACTGCACATCGTGGTCACAGACATGTTTCGTAAGCTTTGAAAAATGAAGTAAGTATATAGATTTATTATATCTATGCATCAGAAGTTATGGCTGCTTCGAAAGTCTAGAATCGTTTAGTGCGGAGTCGATTTACGTGGAATTCCATAAAAAGTTGGCTCCTCAAGAACACCTGCGCCCAATTTCAGAGACGTTGGAGCTTCGACATTGCCTATAAAATGATCACTCTACCACATAGATTTACGAAACTTGAGAACTCGTGAAACTGCAATATAATCGTTGGATTATCGAAATTTATTTAAAAAAATTACAGCTATATTGTAATAATACAAGAATATTATCTGCTTTCAACTTCAAATAATAAATTTAAATTAGGGGGGGGGGGAGAAAAAAGGAGTGTGATGTCACTGGCACTATCTTTTCTGCACCATCTTTAATTTTCTTCCCAATTTGCTACGAATATTTTAAACTCTACTATCGGACTTCTCATTATTTACCCTGAACCTGTTTCTGTTAATATCCATTTAATGGTATATTCTATTAGAGAATTTTCTATAAAGACACGAATCAGAAACAATAAAAAAATTCATGCTAAGCTCCAAATTATATTTTAAATACACAGTTGGACTTAACGTGATGTAAAAGCCTTTACAGGTAAATAATATCTACTACTTCTTTACTGCTGACGTTTCGACGTGGATTGGACACCACGTCGTGGTCACGACAGGGCATGTCCCGCATCGTATTAAGCCCCAATTGTGTATTTAAAATATGTGGGAACAACGCGAAAGTTCAAAATTAAATACCAAATTGTTTGTAATTTTTTGACGCATATTGGAAAAAAAATATTTAGATTCAGTGGTACAACTCTTGCTGAAAATAAATCCAGTGACTACGATATTACTCAATAAAACTCTGATTGTTTTAACCTAAAAAAAGACTGAAGACTTAATAAATTGGCTAAATCAACACAAGTTTATTCCTTGTGTACATATTTGTAAGTTTATTTATTCAATCGTCTCTGAGTCTTCATATCTTTTTGTAAATAACTAACGTAAGTAAATATATACGTATAACGTAAGTAATAAGATACCTACAGATGTATTATTTATGATAAAATAAATTGTGTGAAAAAAATGAAATAAAAAACCTACCTATTATAAATGATGTTTATTTGGATAAATACATAGATGAATATTCCAAACTTATAATTGTATTAATTTTACACCCCTTTTTGCTTGTAAGATTAAAAAGAAATATCGAATAAGTCACTTGTCACTTTGCCATATCCTTCCTAAATATTTTAGTAGCTCGATGGCATATTTCAGAAAGCGTTGGGGACATGGCCGGCACGTTCCTTACCGCTCGGAAGCGGCCTAAATTAACAATAATGATAGTTAATGCGGTGTATTGATCTCGCATTAAACCACCTCTCGATACCCGCTCCATACAGTACCTGACCGACTACAACTACATATGAGTATTAGATAAAATCTATAGACGGTATGTCTGGACACTTGTCTCGCTCACTCGTATTAATGTATCCCATGTGGTTGGTATAAAGTTTCATATTGCAGTCTATATATTTGTACAGTATAATATATTTATAATTTTATCAAGTTATGACTAGATAACATACGTAGATGGAGCGTTAAGTAACAAAAAACGTTTGAAAAAGCTGTTGACTAATAAAAACTTATTGAAGTCCCTATGGTAAAAATTCATTACACATGATTAAAAAATAGGATCTTTTTAACAAAACCATTACGTATCAAAAAATAAATGACAATGGTATCATCATCATCATCATCAGCCATTATCTGTCTACTGCTGAACATAGGCTTCCCCTATGGACTGCCATAAAGAACGGTTCTGAACCACCTGCAATGCTATTATCACAGTCAAATTATATATGTACAGTCTAAAGAACCTTTGTTCGTTTACCATATTACTTAAGAATCGCGCTGTTGTTAATAGTGTCTCTTCCACTCATCATGATTTTCGACAAATCTCTTTAGTTTTTGGTACAACACGACACCAACTTTTTCCTTAATCTGCCTAATGTAACTGTGGCTTAGTCTTTTTCTTGTCTTCCTTCCTTCTTACCTTTTATTACAATATTCATAAGATCATCGTGCCGTCTCAAGTGTAGCAAATTTCCCCTTTTTGATTTTATTTACTTTGTAAATTTAGTTTTTTTTATTTTTTTACTTCCTTTTTTTTCAAACTACAACGACAGCGAGATATATCACATGTCTATTTCATTCATTCTACCTCGCTTTCCAAGAAGCGATAAACAGAATGTTCTCAGTTCCCAAGAGTATATCTGAAATAGGCACCAGATTCAAGGACAGTTTCAATAAACACTGTTACTACCATCTAAGTTTGAAAATATTACCGTAGAGCACCGTTCGTCAGAGTTTCCATCTGCTTGCCTTATTTTTAAACGCTTTAAAAGAGAGAGGTTCATTTCTACATTTCTGAAGTACTTGTACACTTACGTGGAAGTAATTAGTATTGAAACGAATAACTTAACTGAATTAATGTTAAAAACAATAACGATGTATTATTAGCAATATATCTTACTAATAAAAAGAATTTGTTCACAGATAAAGTTCCAAAGTCCGTGAAATCTTTATGCGGTTGAATGGTTTTAAAAGAAATTTGATACATAAATGGACTAAATTTTAATTGAATTTACAATTCATTATTCCAATTTACGCAGGAAAATCCGTCTTATAGCTTACTTACGCTGTGTGACGCAGATCGACTTCTCGTCCGTTATAAACAAATATTTACATAAATTATGTACTACAATTTCAAACTACAACATTAATGATAATTTTCGAAGTAAATCCAATTAAAACGTTAATTTCTTTTACAGGAATTTTGTTACAAGCAAACAAGATTTTACTAATATTATTATTATTATTAATCGAAGTCAATATTGATATCTCGTCTACTGGATAAAATACAAAATTGTATACCAAAACATTAAATATTACCTTGTTTAAAATAAGCTACAATATTATAGGTACTTTTCGAAGTAAATCCAATTAAAGCCTTGTTTTCTTTTATAGGAAAGTCGGGAAGATGAAGTTGTGCGCGTATTTGCTGCTGAGCTTCTTGGGTAAGTCCGTTCTTATATTATATATTATGCTGACATTTTATTAAATTTCCCCTAAAATTAATCCGTAATCATCTTATTTAAATAAGAAAATATCTTAATTAATTAAGTACATCAATTTTAATTAAATTTGGAAATATTCCACTTATTTATATATGTAATATTAAACTTATTCTTTATAAAAAAATGCTTACAGGAATAAAAATAATTTTGATACTGTAGACATTTTTTTATAAATACATAAGCATAAATTTGGTTTTTATATGAAATACCTTTCTTTAAAGAACCAAGGCAAGAATGTCTTTGACACGCATTCTTATGGAACCTTAGCTATAAGAAATGGGTTGAGATAATATTTCTACGACGTAGCCATACACCTATTGAAATTCTAACTTGATTGCTCATATTATTTGAAGAATAGATTCAATTTTCCCATATATTTTTTTTTATTTTATATACGGTAAATATTTTTTTTAAACACGAAGGTAACAAGCATAAACATATAGCACGTCTGATTGTAAACAGTTACCGTTCCCTATGGATGTCTGCTATACTAGCAGTATTATATGCATATTGCCGATCCTGAAGAAACCCTTTTTGAAGACCCCCGTATTGTAGTCTCCAGGGAAAGCCTCGGCAGGGAGCTCATTCCACAGCTTGAGTATTACCGAGAGGATAAAATTATCATGACCTAATTACATTAAACATGAGATGACTCTGTTTGTTTCCTCTACCAAATAAAATAGATATATAAAAATGGCAAAATCTTTCCCTCACACTTACTTTCAAATGGAACAATAGCTCAGACAATAGCTTCAGTTTGTAATATAACAAAGTTTTATCTATATTTTGTTGGTGGTCTAATAATAATTTATATCAATGTAATATCAACGTAAAAGTAATAGATTACTAGGCAGTCGTATTTCACTATTTGGAATATAATGTAATGGAAGTAATTCTAGAAACGTTCTGTATTACGTAGGAGTTGATACGTTTCTAGAATTGTCTCATGAGCCGTGAAATACGAATAAGAACTTTTCACATTATTCGTCCTTTATATAATGTAATTATGTATACAGACAGAGCATAATCGTTAATGCATTTACGACAAAAGTTAGCCGTTACTAATTTCAAGATGATGTTCCGTATGCTTTATTTCGTGGTGACATTCCTCGTAATACAAACTTTCATCGTTTTCTCCAGGGCTACCAACTTAGTGGGGACCGCAAATCGCTTCTTTGATCTTGACACTGCCTTTGACATTTAACGGTAACCATTCTCAAGGAACAAAAGGTGGTGGTTCTCAATTAGTTTTTATTTTTCTTTGTATTGTATATACGTTATAACGTTGCGACGTCAATTCAGAATAATATTGATTTTAATAATTCTTTTTGCAAACAATACAGTTTTTTTCGTGTTAGTCTTTTGTGTGGACAGAAGTTGCTATTTTTGTTTGCGAAACCGATAAGTGTAAACAAATTAATTTTCAATCTTATGTCGCCATTACTATATGTATTATATTTACTTTAATATAAAAATAGAGAAAGTATCAACAAAAAAATAATTTTATTACAATTAAGAGAAGTTTTATAAAGTATAGGTGAACAATGTTGAAACTTTCTATTTAGTATGCTTTTACTTTGTCAAATATATCAATTAATGCATACGTTAATATGTATACATATACTGCCTTTATACGGGATTGTTTATTTAAGTATTTATTTATAGGATCATCAACATAAGATATAGCGAAGCATTTCAATACAATACACTAGTGCATTAGGACTAACTGTTCTTACATTTACAAGCAACCAGAAAAATTAATAAAATTTTAATATTATTTTAATTTTATTATTATTTTAAAACACTATGATTTTCACTAAATAGTTTAGATTAACGTAACTTTTAATAGCTTTCGAGTTTTGTTTTTGGTCCAGGTAAATTTATCCGACAATAAGTAGCCGTTCCCATTAAAATAATGTCGGAATCGGGTGAGTTCCAACTATAAAAGTTTGATAGGTAGCTTTGTTTCGATACGGGTGTGGTTTATAGTTGTTCAGATTTTATTTTTTGATAGCTATTTTTATTAGTAACTTATCCTACTAATACAACGAATGTGAATGCTTGTCTCAATATTTATTTATATTTTAAATAATATCACATTAGAAAAAATTATAAGTGACTTTATGATTTTAAAATGGCAAACAAACTAATGGTCCAGCTTATGGAATGTGATAATCGTCACCTATAGATATGAAGAGCACTACAGTTCCTATGAGGATTAAGAGTATTTTGTTTCTGAAAATGTGTTTTACAACCTTTATTTTTAATCTATGTTAACTAGTATTTTTATTTGTAAAGAACATACATACATCTGTATCATTACCCCACTCTATTTAAATTCCATGAATCTGCAGAAAATGACTTCTTTTAAAGATACAATATTTGTAAGAACAGCTTGTTACTTCTAATTATTTTACACCTACTCTTAGTCATTAGACAATTAATTTGTAAAGCGCTAATGCGCTTTACTTTTAGAAAAAAGTAAATATTAACGGTAATACACTGTAATATACTCAGATATAGAATGTGGTTGCTTTGTAGTTTGTATGAGCATATTCCTTTATATGAGGCCGTTAGTACTTCTGCAATGCCTCTGGTGTTGCGGGTGCTCATGAATGGCGGTAGTCACTTACCATTAGGTGAACTGCATGCTTGTTTATGTTATAAAAAAAAGTGGGAAATTCTAGTGACTTTTATTGATTATTTTCTACGATTCAACTTTCTACAAAATTTTATGTTTTTAAGTAGTTAAATATTAAACGGTTCGAGCTGTATGGCTGTATATACACTGTTTTAATAAAAAAAAAAAACAATATTGTACCACAAAATACTAAATTATTTAAAGTCTTTAGTATTCTGCAATTCATATGTTGAAAGTGAATTTTGGACTTACAAACGAGCAAAATAGGTTTGCGCATTCGACTCAGTTCAGTTCGGGCCACGTTCCGCCGACGGCGTAAAATTAGTACCTAACTGCAAACACATAAACTCAACGTCTGACAGCTGAACCCCTAGGAAACTTGCAGTTAGTGTCGGTATCTATATTGTCATGTTTGGAACAATGCTTTCAAATAGACGTTAGATGGCGTAGATGGTCTGCTGCATTAGACGACCAGTTTAGTTAAAGTTTTGATAGATATTCGATTTATTATAAATACGTGCACTTGCATAGGTGCTTATTGTTTGTTCTATAACTATTGTACTCAAACTCGCGTGAGGGTGCCGCCCTCTATCGTCAAGAGTTACGCAAACTCAATATATACACTACATAATACATTATATATAAATACCCCTTTGAATTATTTAGCAAGTACATTTTTTTCAATAGTATACTTAGTTCATGAATTTAAAAATTTAGAGGTATTGTCTGGTATTTGATTGTATAATTCCCTAACTGTAGTTAATCGTAACTGAGCTGTTATAAAAACATTTATAATTAGGTTATTAAACTATTTATTGTTGTAATATATTACTTACTGCATGGTGTTCTTCACGATTTTCATTACGTAATTAACACTACTTCAGTGTTGCTATAATTAAGATTTTAAATAATTATCCAAATAAACTACAATATTCAGTAAAAAAAATCAAAGTAATTTTATTATTAAAAGTTTCATCAATGCGGTTATTATTTATACAATAAAATGTAAAGTAGCATACTTAAATGTTATAATGTGAATTAATTTACTTCTAAGAGGAGTTTCTCTCATGTTTCTCTCAATAACGGCTGTTATAGCATGAAGTTAAGATTCCCAAAGGTATGAGAAACAGTAACAAGTAGCAAACAAACTTATACTAGCTGACAAGCACTAGTCGAGGTTATGAGTACTTTTCACACTGATGTCTATAGGTGTATTAATGGTCAACGCATATATTGTTGCGTATTATTTAAAAACAAATCGGATATTTATTTATAGCTAGCTAAATTCGCGACTCTTTTCACATGACATTGACTTCATAACTAATATAAGGATGTAAAAATTTACAAAGATATTTGAATGTTACTTAATCACATCTATAGATGAATGGAAGTCAATGAAATTTGGCACACAATGTACCAAAGGTATCTGTAGAGTATAGCAACACGGGAAAATTTTATACAAAAGTCGTCTGCAAAGCAACTGCGTTCCGGTTTGAAGGAACTTGTCTGTGAAAGTATGGAAGTAGAAAACTTCGGTTTTCGGAAATGGCAACATATAAGAAATAACATGAGCGTCATAGTGTATCTGTAATCTCCAAGGTGCTATTAATGTTTATCACTATCGGTTGCTACTTTTTTATTACAACATGGTTTTCCTTTTGATCTTACCTCACCTGATGGTATATGATGATAAATTACTTTGTGGGCTATCAAATTATTTGCTATTTTAATTTGCATAAAAACATATATATTATATACTAAATTAAAACATTGAATATATTTACCTCAATTTGTGAATGCAAAACCCTGGGCTACAGCTAGTATCTATGTAATAATACTTCGACAAGGCCAAACAATATGACTCTCTTTGAAAATTTTTAATGCACCAGTGAACCGTATTTTATATATAAATCCAGTTGCAACCATGTCTGACATCTTGCCGCTCCAATATTGTAACATACAAAACGAAATTTAATCTAAAATTTTCCTTTGAGAATCTTTAAGAAATTCCTTCTTTTATTATCGCCCATTGAACAACTGGTGTTGATTTTTATATTAAAGGCATCGCATAAGAAAGGTTTATCGAAATTCAACCCCTAAGGGGTAGAGAAGTTAACATAATTATTCTATTGGAACTCAAAACGTAGGATATACCAAGACTTCACTGCCAAGAACTGATAAAACGCGATTAAAAAACAAAACGCTTTAAAAAACCGGGACCATAGTACACAGTTATGTTTCAAAACGTTAAATTTAAAGTCGATTGCTTGGGTACCTCTGTCTCATTCGTATTTCAACC